GTTAGCCATTGATTTATTTTGTTTGCATATGCAAAAAAAATCACTCTCCATTTCTTGCATGGGCCTTATTGGTTTTTTCCTGGCTCCTCATAGAACATGCCTTGGTTTGTTGGCACTCTCTTAGATTGCTGTTATACTCAAGAAGTGGCAGTTTGTGTTTAGTTAGGCTCAGAGTTCTGCTCTTCCCTTGCATGCATTCCATCCCATCCAGAGCACCAAAGTAATTACCTGTGTGTAACCATTTGTTCTGGCATTTAGTGACATGTAGATCCTTGAGCAATAAAAGGCTTCAATCTGGTGCCCTGCACCATAGGTTCCAGTTCTTTGCAAGCAGATATTTTCAAGAGGAGAAATGGCAGGTGGCTGTGTGGAAAATGGCAAACTCAATCTGAAGCCAGACTGATTCACGTATTTGCAAGAACTTCCTTTTCCTCCTCCTCCGTAGTGAGTATTATCAGCAGAGACAGAAGCTGTATATCTTGTGATTTCTGTCCAGGCATTACAAAGTAAGTGAATACATCCTTGGTGCTTCTGCTTCATCTGTGCTTTTCTCCACCTTTTCAGTCCCACACAACTTTTTACCTAGTCAGATGTGTTATTGTTCGGGTTTTGTAGCTCATTGTTTCTTTGTTGTTACTGTGTATGGTTAAGTACCAAAGTGCTGGCATGAAACAAAAGGATGAAAATATTTCAGAAATAGCTTGTCTAGCCAGGAATTACATTTGTACCTGTCTCTGTTACTGTCCAGATTTTTTTCTCTTTTCCGATTAACTTGAGAGACAGGGACGTGGTGGTGCTGTGGGCTAAACCGCAGAAGCCTCTGTGCTGCAGGGTCAGAAGACCAGCAATCGTAAGATCGAATCCATGCGACAGAGTGAGCTCCTGTCGCTTTATCCCAGCTCATTGCCAACCTAGCAGTTCGAAAGCATGCAAATGCAAGTAGATAAATAGGTACCACCTCAGTGGGAAGGCAAAACGGCGTTCCCTAGTCACGCTGGCCACGTGACAACGGAAACTGTCTTCGGACAAGCGCTGGCTCTACGGCTTGAAAACGGGATGAGGACCGCCCCCTAGAGTCAGACACGACTGGACTAAAATGTTACCTGAAAGATAGAGAACCTTGTCGTACTCAGATTATGAACAAGTTTACATCTTTAGTCTTTATTTTCCATAGAATTGGTTTTTGTATACCTAGAATTGGGCACCTATAGAAGTACTGCTAAGTTGGGCACTCCAGCATCTTTTTCTTGCCCTACTGATAGAGCTTCTGTAATCAAAATCAGTTACTGTGATGCAGGTTTTCCTGAAAGTCTCGAAAGAAATAAGTTATTAAACAGGAAGCTAATGAGTTCCATTCAGGGGAAGGAACAACCAAATTAATATTTTCAGAAAGAATTTTGAAGTTGGCAAATATCAGAGGAGCAAACTGAATCTTTGGTAACTTGGAATGTGGTTAAATGTTGCAGGAAGCAAATCAGCTGTGATCAACCCTCTCCAATGATGCTGCAAGCCATTTACCTGCAATGCAGTGCTGTGCATCTGCAGCTAGGTGGTGGAGGCAAATTCCTTTTCTCTCTTGCTTCTTCACAAAGCTTGGCTGTGTTCAGGAACAGCCAGCAGCTTTCTTTCCGTTCATGTTCCCTGCTATCTCGACCACTGTGCCATTTTATTTTTGATGGCTCTTTCAAAAACAAGTAGTCCTTTTACAGAGATACCTTCATCTATGGGTGTCCGTGCTTCATGCAGGTAAAATTTCCTTTTATTCCATGCAGTTTTGTCAGAAAAAAAAGGGGGAGTACAGTTCCTTCAGTGAGGACTTTTATGAATGACATGAAAGCACATGACTCTTTATGTGAATGGGTAATTCAGTTATCCCACACATTTCTTTAGCATATAATTTTTATCAGATATGCAACTTGAGAACAAATCCAATGAAGCTAAGCTGTGAAAGTGGTGCTGGGTGGGTGGATGCAAAAGGATGCTGTCAAGGCTTTTGCTAGCATTTGAGTCATTTCTGGTAGAGTTACAATTCTGATAGGTGTCTGTCTCTCATCACTGAAATGCAGTGTCTGGATCTCTCATAGCCTTTTGTCATTGCTTGGAAACCAGGTTTTGAATTGTTTCAGTAAAGGAAATTAATAGGAAAATGCTTTTAGTTTTCTCATCCTTTGATTAAATTTGGCTTGAATAAATCCTTATTTTTAGTGATACGCTGTTACTTCTAGAATGTTTGTGTTGTATAGATATGTGGTACAGTTCTAACCTATACCCGTAATTACTTCAGTTGCATTTCAGGAGGGTGGGGCCAAAGCAGCTGAAAGGATTGTGCTAAGCATTTGCAAGGATTTATTAGTAAAAGTATGCATTCTTTTCAGATAATAGTAGAGAGAGTGTTGGCTCTGAAATACAAAATTAGCTTTGCAGTGCAATCAAATCTTGCTGAATTACATGGCCTCTTATACTGACTGACAAATCTTTTAATGTACAGGGACTTACAGTAATTAATTCCAAAGGTTCTGACTTGTGAGGCTTGAAAATATCCATCAGTGATGTGACACCCCTTAAAATGAAGGATCTGGGATATTGTGAAATGTGTTCTGGTTACTTCCTTGCTGCCAGAAAATTGTGCTTGTGGAAGAGACAGAGGGTTGCAGAATATTGTATTTGTAGCATTTCAGAAATCATGTTGGGCTGGAACATTATCATGGACAGTCAGTATAAACGAATTCCTTGTCCATTTCTTCCCTAAAGCATTGTCTAACTAATGTGCTGTATGATAAGCCCTAACAACTCAGTGTTCCGGTATTTATGATGTAATTATTAAAATAGCTTTACAGTGATGGGTGTGGCTTCTACATAGATCACGTTGATTCATTTCCCTACTAAGTTCAGTATTCATTAAATAGCATTTTAGTATTTTTCATTGCCTGCAGCTGTCAAATATCATATTAGGTTATACTGCTTTTTAGATTTACCGTTTACTTATCCCTGATTGTGTTATGTTCCTATTAAGTCCTGTGTAGATGTATGACATTTAGTGGGTTGTTGTTTGTTTGCTTGTTTGCCAAAGAAACATAGTTTTAAGAATATCTGTCAAAAAAGGTGGATGTGGAAGACATGTTTATTTTTAAATGCTTTCACTATGCTCCAAACGTGCAGATAAGTACTATCTGCAGGTGTTCCATCCCCCACCTGGTTTAAATGTTCCTCCAGCAAATCCTGTAATGATTATTTTATTATTTTGTGAATCATTCCACAAAAACATCATTCATGCTTTCATAACTATGATTTCCCTCTTAAAGGATAGATATTTAATAATTCTAAGCAGTGACTGAAACAAGCCTGTTTTTCTTTGTCATGGGGGGGGATCTTAATATGATTTGTGATTGACCAAAATCCTCCTGTGCAAATTTATACTGTATGAGTAGGTTGATGTTATCTGGCAATCATAATATTTCATTGAAACTAATTGAAAGCTTTCTATCCCTTTCAGGTTCCAAGGCTCCCTGGGGTTCCCTTTTGTCATGAGGGAGCCTTAGGATTGGGGTTGGCTGGCCGAACCTTTAATAGCCAAAAAATGCCACAGGATCACTGCTGCTAGGATGAGGACCACTAGCAGTGATATGGCAGTGATTTTTGGCTATTAAAGCCCCCTCCCATCCTGAGACTCCTAAAGGCTTTCCCAGGGCAAAGGTTCAACCCTTGGAGGTTTCAGAACATGGAAGGAAAGGAGAGAAAGCTTTCAATTAATCTAAATTAAATATACAAGTCACTAGATGATGATGTAATCTGGTTTACACAGCATAAGTTACACCAAGAGGATTCCAACTGCTGTATTAGTCTAAATCCTAACAACCATTACTGTGTTAGTTATGTTTCTAGATGTGTAGAAGACTTCAGGTTTGTTGACCATCCAGGGCAACAAACTGCATCTCCCCAAGTGGCTGTCTAGCAGTCCCTGCAGCTTCCAATTTCTTCCAAATTCCTCTTTTCACCTCTGGATTGGCAGTTGCGAAGGCAATAGTCAGCCCTCAAGGGCTGGATTTGCCTCAAAATATCATACATTACAAAACATTGCATTAAAGATAAGATGTACCATGAAGGACAACCGTAGCTACTGTTGACACAAGATCATTGTGAGATCAATACGACTTCTTTCTGTTAGTATGGAGATTTGAGTGCAGTGACCATTGTAAACTATTTCTTTTTTTGCAGCAGAGGTTTAGTGACCAAGTGCAATAAAAAAAATTTTTGGGAGTTCTAGTAAATGTACTTATTAACTCTTGTGTAAACAAGTGTGTTTATTCATGGTTTGAAAGTCTTTGAGTGGCAATGAAAAAATTAATATGTGAAATATCTCTAAATTGTGTGTGAGCGGAGACTGTATAAAATGATAGAAAATTACTAAAGATATGCACCTATTGTGAACATGGATAAAAATAACATTGACTTCAAAAGTATGCTTTTCCATGTTTTTGGATTCACAACTCCCAGAGCTATTCAAGAATTCCTCAGGCAGAATTCTGGGTGTATTGGCCCACAAACAGGAATCTGCAGACCCTGAAGAAGGTTCTCATTCCCCTGGAGAAGGACTTACCTCCATTTCTTTATTAGCTTCTCCAACATTTACTTCCTGCTTCTTCTTTTTTTTATTATTATTATTGCAATATTGCTTCCTGGGAGTTCTTTGACAGGCACCCTCTATGGAACCTAATGAACAGTGAAATTACATGATTGGCATCCTCTGTGCCCAGGAAGTCATGAACCCCTGCCATTACTAACCAGTGAGAGCCGGGCTCTCCTTGGTATGCGCAACACTTTGAATCATGGTCATCAGTAATAGACAAGGTTGTAACTATTTATCTTAATAGGAGTTTTTAAAGCTTACTTTTATCCACTCACAAGCATCATTTTAGTTTTAGTATGATCTTTCTTTCTCTAATCTTCAAGTTTTTGCATTCAGTAAATTGCTTGGCTTATAAATTTCTTACATCTCCCAGGCCTGAAACTCAACATCGAGGCCCTGCTGCCCTTTCAGAGAATGAACACCCTGAACAAGAAGAGGAAATCTTGGGATCAGATGATGATGAGCAAGAAGATCCCAATGATTACTGCAAAGGTGAGAAGTTATCTTTTTACAACATCAGCATCTTGGTTCGAGGCCAACAACTGAGGCTTTAATCTTCTTGGTATATATACTGTATGGATCAATGAGTTAATTTGCTACATAGATAGAAATGGGTACTCATTTATGAGTCTTACGGTATATCATGGCTAGACAGACGTGATGTTATGTAAGTTAAGTCTGGTCATCTGCCAGACTAGGTATTCTTTGTTTATTTAAATGAATCAAAGATTGAACTTGGTTTAACAGCCTCTCATATTACAGTACTATTTTTACCACCTCCATGCCCAGTAAGAAAAAACAGTGTGATAATATTCCTGGGGCTGAAATGTTAGTTGAGCTGTTGCATTTCTATGCTCAATATACAATGTGGTGTTATTGTGGAGTTATGTGTAGGTGTACTTTGCGGTTGATTGACCAAAAGAGTTATGTTGCTTTCATGAGTCACATTGGTGCTTTTATTGGATCTGGAAGCTAGAAAAAGAATTGCTTACAATGCATCTGCCAGTAATGCTTTTGTATTTGAAGTCATAATCTAGGAAGGAAAATAACATTTTGGGGACTTCTTGTAATTAATACATACAACTGTTGTGGTAAATTTGGTTGGTTGCTATTTGCACAAAACCAAGGATGAAGCCTCTTAATGAGTGAGTTAAGGGATTTGTTGCAAATGCTTGAAGGGTGAGTGTTGATTCATGTATTGTCACTAAGACATCCTCTCCTTTTGTGTAGGAGACATAGCTCTGGAAAACATTGCTCCCTTCTCGTTGGCTGAACAGAAAGCTAGTTGAGTGTTTCTCTTATGACAAGGGCTGGACTCAATGATCCATAGGGTCCCTTCCAGTTCTGCAGTTTTATGATGATGATGAAGAAGCAATTTTTTTAGGATACTTCTAAATGTGTTAGTATGTGGTGAGGTAATTAGAAAATCTGAATGGCATCAAGGATGGGTGTCTTTGGAGAAGGAGGTCAAATCGTAGATTGTTTTCCCTCGCTAACCAGTCCTACAAAATCTCCTTTAAGAGGTGACGGGGAAGGTAACTGCATAGCACCAGCCATTAAATCGTTTTTTTAATGCAATGTTATTCTGTCTTCCTCACCTTGAAGGAGAGCTGAAGCTGACTGTGGCTGGGCTTAAAGTTAGTGCCAAGGCTGAAAGACTCTGGTCTTCCAGAGCTAGTTGGGCTGCAATTACTGTTAGACCTGACCTTTGGCCATATGGGCTGGAGCTGTAGGGATTTGTAACCCAGCATAAGGAAGTCACAGGTTTTCCCCTTACAGTGCTGTATTTCCTAGAGTAATAATCTGACCCTAAGGAGCAGAAAATACACCTTTTGTGCTGCCTCTCTTGTTTGCTTTAAAAATATCCATAGCTCACATGTTTGTGAAATAAAAAGAAAAAGGTATGTGGTCCTTGTACAAAATCACAAAATTGTGGTAACCTTTTTATTAGACCACTAAAATATAGGAAACACAGTGTCTGTTCCATTGCCTTGTATCAGACACTGCCATTAAAGTGCCTTTGACGTCTGACTCTCACATTACCTGTTTGGAATGGCTTCAATCATCATTATACTGTATAGGGTCTGAACTATCTGGGGATCCTTTTGCTTATGCAGCACCTTGCATATGAAGTGGGAAGACTTTGAGTGCTGTTTAAACTGGTTCATACATGTTGCATCCCATGTTGATGAGAGCCATGGAACAAAGGTAAATTGAGAACTGGCAAACTGGTTCACAAGACCTCTTTAACAGGTCTTCATGTATATCATGGTTTTTAATACAAGATTATCACATACAAGTGTCAAATCAGAAAAGCAGAGACAGATTTCTTATGAAATGTGCAGAATGACCTTTCGTCTGGTCAACTCTATCAAGTGGGCCTTACAAATTAACACTCTTTCCAATGAGTTTACAGTTGAAGGGTGCAGAAAGTGGATACCCAGTCAGCAGCTGATAGCTCTTGTTTATGCAGATAAGGGGTATCCCATGCTAATATTATTGTCCTATAGGCAGTGAAGTTTTATTGGCCACTAATTTTTTGTTGCTGCTCAAACAAAACAGTTATGAAATATTTACATCTTATACACATCAGACGCTAGTTGATCTGGCAGCTGAAATGTCTTAAAAGCCATTTGGGAGAGTAACCTCTTTTTAAAAAATCTTAGTGGCATTTTTATTAGGGAGATCAACAAATTACTGAGGAGATCAAGAAAGGGGCAATTCCCCCTACAGATGCAGGAGAGGAGACAAATGGCACTCTGTATTGCTGTTATGTATCAGACAACAGAAAAAAAGGTAGCTCTGCCTACTGTGTACTATGACTGCACTTACTGTACCTTAAATTGTTGAAAGATAATATGTATCCAGGGTGAAGAAATTGCATGATTTTACCTGCAGCTTCATACACTTTAGCTGTCTTCTTCTTAAGATTAGTTTCACAAGGATGTCAAACAATCCTGTATGTTTTTAAACATAACTATAGTTTCTTCATCTGATAGTGCTGCTTCCATTTCCTAGGTGGCTATCATCTTGTAAAAATAGGGGATCTGTTCAATGGAAGATACCATGTCATCCGGAAGCTAGGATGGGGACACTTTTCTACTGTGTGGTTATCTTGGGACATCCAGTAAGTCTTAATCTTTTTAGATGGAATTTCATCTGATTGTTCATAAATCTACTCTAGAGTAACAGCTCAGATCTTCATGTCAATCTCTTACCTGCTTCAAAATTCCTAGTATTCATGCATTTTATAAATTTAATAATAACAATATTATTCTCAAATTGCACACTGAAATTGGTTCATTTTTGCATGTCATTTCTTTCATTCACTTTTTGCATACCAGAAACAATTATGCATTCATTACTGACTCAGAACTTACTTTCCTTTTTCCTCCCATAGGAAATGATCCTAATCTTTCAGATCTTTATGTATTGGTATTGTCTGGTTCTGAAAAACAGTTTAATACTAAACTTTATATCCATTTAGGGGAAAGAGGTTTGTAGCAATGAAAGTTGTAAAGAGTGCTGAACATTACACAGAAACCGCACTGGATGAAATCAAACTGCTGAAATCTGTGAGTATATATATAAGCAATGATTATGCTGTAATTTCAGATTTGGTGTATTTTAAAAACACCAGGAAACAGCTCATGGCTCTGTTGTGTCTTTTGTTCAGTAACAGATGTGAAGGGAAGCACTGGCTGAGATCTGCCAGTGATTCCTTCTGCCATAATAAGGAGGGAGTGATCCCTCTTCCAATTGTAACTTGCCTTGTTCTCTTAAAACTGTTTCTGAAGGATTGAAAACCTCTGGAGCTGGTTTTCAGGTTGCACGCAGGCATGGGAGACAAAGATGGATGGATAGCATTTATATGCCACCTTTTCTCCAAAACTGGGACTCAAGACAGTGTACAAAGTTGTCACAAACTAATAGAAAATTAAAATACAGTTGAATTACAGAAAGTAAAATAGGATCATTACATTAAATAGGATCACAACATTAAAATTAAAGCCCTCTAAAATATTGGATTAAAAATAATGACAATAGTTCTGGTACACTGGCACACAGCTGCTAGTGCAGCATTGAATTTAGGCTATAATATATAATTAATAGGTAGATAAGAAATGTTATATTTTAGTTCTTTAATATATAGTTTGCCTCATTTTTACAGTAATTTAAAAGATATTAGAACATAGCTGTTTTAGTCATGAATACATAATTAATATATTCGTGAAGGCTTTCATGGCCGGGATCTAATGGTTGTTGTAGGTTTTTCGGGTTCTTTGGCCGTGTTCTGAAGTTGAGTATTTATAGCTGTGGGTTCAGCTTTTGTCCTATTCAGGAGATGGGTGTAATGGTGATCAGTGTGTATGCAATGGGTGTCGTATAGCTATAAATACTCTCCAACCAACTGCACCAGAGCACAGCGTGCTACTCCTGTCCTCTGAAGATGCAGGCCACAGAGACTGGCAAAATGTTAGGAAGAACAACCTTCAGAATACGGCCAAAGAACACGGCCAAAAACCCACAAAAACCAATACATAATTTATCTCAAATTGGGTGTCCTGTTTTCCTATCATTATTTTCAAGGGCCCTGTCTTGTTGGGTCAGCTAACAATCTCACATTCATGCATCGAACATTACATTTTCAGGAGATTTTGAAGGACAAACTGAGGGAAGGAGAACACAGATTCACAAAATGTACCTGCACTAGTACAGGTGGTAAGACAACATATCTTACTTCAGGAGTGAGCTGGCAATGCTCAGAGCAGATTTTGTTCTTTTTCAGTTGGAGTGCAGAGTAAAATCACTGTAGATACAGAGAGCAAAAAATAGAAATGTTAATTTGTAATTTCCTGCAAAAATTGTGGGATGAGATCCCAGAGAATCTCAGAAACTGACATATATTCAAGGACAGAAATCTCCTTAAAAGTATTTTCCCCTCTTTTGTGTTTTTAATACAATGCAGGTCCGTAACACTGACCCAAATGACCCAAATAGAGAGAGGGTGGTTCAGCTCTTAGATGACTTCAAAATTTCAGGAGTGAATGGTTCCCGTATCCTTTTTCTGAAAGAACAGCTCACAAGGGCAGGAATTTAAATGTATAAAAGCATATGGAACTGTTACAATATTGCCAACAGGAGATGAAAATAACGTTGGCCTCTAGTATTTTCAAATGTTTAACAAAGTACTGTTGGGACTTTGTGCTGTTTTCAAAATAAGATCAGAATTGTTGGAAACTGTGTTGTAAGCTCATACTATTCTGCTATGAATGCTGCTTTAAAATTGTGTTTTTTCAGAATGTCCATTTCACTGTGTTCTTTTATCTGCAAGTAACTCAAAACAAAATAAAAACAATGACACTATATTTCTAATTTTTTATATGTTGGAAGCATAGAGGAAAGTTTGAAAATTATGGGGCTTTTATTTGAACCTTGGGGTTCTGAACTACAGTGGTACCTCAACTTACAAACTTAATCCGTATTGGCACAGCGTTCGTACATTGAAAAGTTCGTAAGTCGAGGCAAACCTTTCCATAGGAATGCATTGAAAACCATTTAATCCATACCTGCTGTTTTTTGTTCATATGATGATGAGCTGTTTGTAGGTAGAGGCATTAGTTCACATAGGAACTAATGCAAAGCCGGTTAATCCGTATTCTACCGCTAGGGGCGGATTTTTAAATGTTTTCTTCTTTTGACTTAAGATGAACTTAGGTCAAAAAAAGGGCAGGAAAGGTTTTTTTATTTGTTTGTTTTTGGTTTGTAAGTTGAGGCTCCACTCACAAGTCGAAGCAACTTTTGGCAAATGGAGCCGCCTATAACTTGAATCGTTCGCAAGTGGAGACGTTTTTAAGTCGAGGTACCACTGTAGCTGCCTTATGGGATATCTGTGTTCCTTTGCTGGTGGGACTTACTGATAAAATAGTTTAGAGTTATATTTGGAATACTTCTTCCCATACTCTGAAGCGATATTGTCACAAAGAGGGATGGATAACATTTCAGATGCCCTAGGAAACTGCAAGCATGATGTTTTAAGAAAAGGTGTGGCAAGGAATATTGCTGATAATACATTATTTTTGGCCATATTTCAGTAATGACCAAGACTTTTGATATCACAGGACATTCAGCCTTGACTTACTGTACAGATATTTGTATGGTATTTGAAGTTTTAGGGCACCATCTTCTTAAATGGATCATCAAATCAAATTATCAGGGGCTTCCACTAGTCTGTGTAAAAAAAATCATCCACCAGGTATGTTTTTAATTTATTTAGCATGTTTAAGATAAGTTTAAGAGCTGCTTGCTGTCACTGGTAAAAACACTGCTTTTGAATGTGCATTCAGCTTTGTATCTGGAGATTGTTATGTCTTATCAGCTGCTGCATTTGGCTAATGGAGAAGATTTAAACTTTAGTGTGACATTGGTGTGTGTGTGGAAAGCCTTTTGCTCCTCCTCTAAGAGCCTAAGATGATAGATAAACCACCATTTTTTTTAAAAAAAAAGCAACTCCTTGAATCTGTGGATTCAAGAGTTTTATTCTTGCCTTTTAATTGCTAAACCATTTTATCTAATAGCAAAATTCCTGAGCACATTTTTATTGTTTCAGAAGCAAACAGGCCCACTGATAAATGGGCTAGGTAATTGTATTCCCCAGGGAAAGCCATTGTATACCAAAGTGTATTTTGCCTCCAAAGAATACAAAACAGATAACCAAACAAAATAACTGGTAGAAAAAGACTTCACAAGGGTGTGCTTCTGCTCTGTTAGTGTTTTCCTTTGCTTTGATCTAGATTTATATATATCAGGGCAGCAGTCCTTATTTTATTTCATTTTTACCTAGCCCAAGAAGAAGGGAGACGTAGGTTAGAATCTCACTGCTTTTTACCATTCAGAAAATCCTAGAAGCTGCTGTGGCTGATGGACAAGTTCCTGCTTAAGTTAATGAGTACATGACTAGGCATGCAAACAGCATTTCATCAATGCAGTGCAATCTGAGGAAGCCTGTTCGCTTGTCGTTCTTTCTTGCCACCCACCACTTCTTGTGCAGCTGTGTGACAGGAAGTGTGACCAATCACTCTGGGCCACTTTTTCAGTCCTCAGTCTTGCAGTTTGGCTCTCAGAAAGAAGTGTGGAGGACCTAGAGTGGCAACATCTGGCTGGAGCAGCATGGGGGCATTGTTTTGCTGTCCCACATACATGGTGACGCAGGACAATGAGGCCAAAAGAGCCTGCCAGTCAGCTACCTCTCCATTTTGTGTGTTTATTGAGTCATCAGCAGATGAAAAGTAGAGTTAGCAAAATGCTGCCAAAGAGGACCTGATCCAAGGATGGGCTCCCGTTTTCAGAAATAAGGCACTGTGAGAATACTGGGACTTAATTGCCTTGTAAGGACTTATTCATTTGGCTCAACATCTTCTCTGGTTATGTCATGCTTGCCATTAATTCAATTAAATTTAGAGATGTCTTTCCCTGAAGTTATACATTTATTTTGTTGTCTCGTTTACAGGCCACCTTTCTCCTGATAAGGGGACTCAAGGAGGTTCATAATTTCCCCAAAAAATAAAATTTAAACCACAATCAATTATACATCAAAAACAATTAAAGTACAGTAGTAATTAAGTAAAAAACATAGAATGATTAAAAGATTTAATTTTTTTTAAATGAAACAAAAAATGGCATTCAGGGACTCGGTTATGATAGTTAAAAGCCTGCTTGAAAAGTTGGATCTTCAGCTGTTGGTGGAAGGATAAAAAGGAGGAAGTCAACCTGACCATCCAGGGGAGAGCATTCTATAACTTGGGAGCAGCTACAGAGAAGGTCCTCTCTTGTGTCCCCATCAAACATACCTGGACTGGCATTGGGTCTGAGAGGAGGGCCTCCTCTGATGATCTTAAAGAGTTGAAAATGAGGAGCTACGGTTCTTCAACTAGCCTACACAGACACAAGAGATACACTGTGTGTTTTGTTGCTGATCTTACTTACAGAGTATAATTCAAAAGTAGTTCGTAAATCTGGGAAGGATAAGAGTAGTGCAATAGAAGAACAGTGTTTTAATAGAATGGGAATTATTCCTTAAGCAGAGGTAGGTGACAAGCAAATGTTTTCTGTAGTTTCCTTATTGTTTTCAGTAAGACTTTGATGCCACAGACTCTACTCCATCACATACACATAACTAATAAACTATGGCTCTTTTCAGTATGCTTTCAAATACAGTGGTGCCTCGCTTAATGACATTAATTTGTTCCAGCGAAATTGCTGTAGAGCGAAAACGTAAAGCGAAAATAAAAAGCCTACTGAAACGCATTAAAACCTGGTTGGGCTAAAAACTCACCATCCAGTGAAGATCCTCCACACAGCGGCCATTTTTGGTGCCTTTATAGTGAGGAATCAGTCCCTCAGCACAGTGGGGAGCCATTTTGAGCACCCAGCAGCCATTTTGAAAACCCGACAATCAGCTGTTTTGATCGTCCTAATGCAAAGAATCGGTTCCCGAAGCAGGGAACCAATCTTCGCAAAGCGAAAAAATCCCATTTAAAACATCATTTTCAACATAGTCGTGAAGCAGATTCGTCGTAATACGGGGTAATCGTTAAGCGGGGCACAACTGTAATAATGTATATCGTCTAACCCCAGGGTTCTTTGTTTCCTTTTGCAGGTTTTGCAAGGACTGGATTATTTGCATGCCAAGTGTCGAATTATTCATACTGATATTAAACCAGAAAACATTCTGCTGTGTGTTAATGACCAGTATGTCCGCAGACTTGCTGCGGAAGCAACAGAGTGGCAAAGATCTGGAGCACCCCCTCCTTCTGGCTCTGCAGGTAGTCTTCTGCAGTTATTTTTACTTTGGAGTTGCCTCATTCTGAAGTAGTTAGTTGGGGCATAAAATGTTAGGATCTTCTCTATTTATATGGAATTGTTCAGCTGATGTATAAAATGAAATAATAACTCTCTTAGTGCGATAGTTAAAAGTGTTGGGATCATACACAGGAGACTTACTATAGGTTGAAATCCCCTCTTAACCATGAAACTGAAGAGGGGATCTTAGGCCAGTCAGTCTCACATCATCAGTAGGTGCTTGTGAGGATAAAATGGAGCCTCTGAAGGAAAAAGCTTGGCGCTTGTGTGTTTCTCCCAACAAACATCTCAGTTTGGTGTCCTTATTCCGTGCCTTTACCCTTCATGCGCTTGTACCTGCGCTGACAGTTCATCGTGTCTTAGGCACCATGACTTCGGTAGTTCAGCATGTTGGCCTCAGAATGAAGTCACTTCAAGCATGGTTTCTGGACCTATTCAACCCAGGGGCAGATCCACCACATACCCTGCTGCAAGTCACTCCAGAACTCGCCTCCCAACTCACATGGTGGCACTCCACTCAGAACTTTATGATGGGGCAATCCTTTCAACAACCATGTCCACAAATCCAGGTTGCCATAGATGCCAGTCTTTCTGGCTGGGATGCTTATTGCCAATCCCTACGGATTCATGCCCAGTGGTCACAAAGAGAGAAGTTGCTTTATATCAACCAGCTACCAGTAATAAAAGCTTGCAAGGCCTTCAGAAATCATCTTAGAGGCAAGATGGTTCAAATAGCCATGGACAACACTACCACAATGTACTACATCCTCAAGCAGGGGGGCACTCATTCCTCATGCCTTCTTTATCTCGCAGCCGATCTGTGGGAATGGTCTCTCTCCCATCACATTTTCCTCATGGCAATACATATAGCCGGTCAAGACAACGATCTGGCAGATGTGCTCAATTGCAAGGGATCCCAAACCCACGAATGGGAACTGGACCAATCCGTTTTTCTCTCCCTGTGCAAACATTGGGGAACACGCTCCATTGACCTCTTTGCCTCCCAAAAGAACTGGAAGTGCAAACGTTACTGTTCCCGCGTAGGAGTTGGCAAGAACTCCCGTAGAGTTCTTAGTTAGCCATTAGTCAGCCATTGGCCCATGTCACTCACTCACCTGTTTCCACCATTCCCGCTCATTCATAAGGTTGTAGTCCGTCTTCAGCAGGACAAGCCCAATGCCATCCTGATAGCCCCATGGTGGCCATGGCAGCCATGGTTCCCGGTACTCCATCAGCTGTCGTCTGACATCTATTACCTGCCTCACCTGCTTACACAACACAAAAATCAAATTCCCCACCCAGATTTCTACCTGCTTACACAACACAAAAATCAAATTCTCCACCCTGATCTCTCTGCCCTTCACCTGGCAGTGTGGAGAATTCTGCCTCCCTGATGAATGTCCTTCATCAGGCAAAGAAACCCTCAACCAAAAAAGCTTACATGTACAAGTGGAAAAAATTCCAATCATTTACCACAGTGTTATCACTCCCTTCAACCAGTCCTTATCTTACCACAGTTCTTTGTCTTCTGTTACAACTAAAATCTAAAGGCCTTCCCCGTTCATCCCTCAAAGTCTACTTTTCCACAATTGTTGCTTATCAGCCACCAACCTCTCCAGCAGCCAAGTTTTTCAGACACCCTACTCTGAAACGTTTCCTTAAAGGACTGTCTCACATCCATCCTGATGTACATCCGCCACCACCTCAATGGTCACTGACATTAGTCCTTCAGCGACTTACGAGGGCCCTGTTTGAGCTCCTTGCATCAACTGACATCAGGTTACTTACCTTTAAGACGGTGTTCCTTGTGGCTATTACATCAGCACACCGCGCTAGTGAACTAGCAGCCTTGAGATCTGACTATCCTTATCTCCAGTTTTACCCAGATAAGGTCAGACCTTTTGTAGATATTTTCTCCAGTTTTACCCAGATAAGGTCAGACTTTTTGTAGATATTTCTGCCCAAGGTTGTCTCCCAGTTCCACTTATCCCAACCTTTGGTCCTCCTGTCTTTCTTCCCGTCTCCATTTACTCCTCAAGAAAAAACTCTCCATACTTTGGATGTAAGAAGGGCTCTTGCCTTCTACATAGCCTGTTCGCAACCCTTCAGACATTCAGCTCAACTTTTTGTTAGCTATCAACTTCCTGCTGAAGGTCTTCAAGTCACCTCACAGAGGATACCCAAGTGGTTTGCTTTCACCATTCAGCTTGCTTATCAGCCTGCTCGACTTCCAGCTCTACAAAGTATTTTAATTCAGCTTGCTTATCAGCTTGCTCGACTTCCAGCTCTACAAAATATTCGTCTCCATTCTGCCAGGGCGTTGGTGACATCTACGGCTTTTCTTCTAGGCGTTCCTCTGCCGGATGTCTGCGCCTCTGCCACATGGTCACAGCTGTCCATATTTATCAATCATTACAGATTGGACGTTCAGCTGAAATCTAATGCTCCTTTTGGACGTGTTATGTTATCGTCTACCTTGGCATGACACCCTCCTCTGGGTAAGACAGCTTGTTAGTCACCCACAGTGTGATTCACAGAGGCCACGAGAAAGAACAGGTTATCTACCTGTAATTGTCTTTCTTCAAGTGGACTTCTGTGAATCACACATCCCGACCCAGCCTCCCCTCTGTCACACCCTATTTGCTGTGCGCATGTGTGGATTTCCCACAGTGTGAATCACAGAAGTCCACCCGAAGAACTACAATTACAGTAAGGGGAGGGGTCTGCACTAATGTATCTTTTTACTACCGCAGAAGCTCTAGAACATTAAGACAAGGCTGTGCGCATGTGTAGATTACCCACAGTGTGAATCACAGAGGTCCACTCGAAGAACTACAATTACAGTAGTTTCAGTCCATTCCTTGCTGGTAATATAAGAGCCCCCACTACAGTTCTTGGGGGGCGGTGGGCATGCATGCACCAAGCCAGCCTGCACACACATTCCTGAGAATCATGATGGGACTAGCAGGGTATAGATCAAAATTTATGAAATTTCTTATGTTACTCATCAAGTTTTCAGCTATTAACTGCTAGATAGCTCAGTGGTTTAAGGATTTGGCTGCAGAGCCAGAGGTTGGGAATGAGTGAGAGTTCCTCACTCTGCCTCCTTGACGGGCTGGATTTGATGATCCCGCTCTGCAGTTCTAAGATGATGATGATGATGATTTCTGTTTTGGGTTTGTTTCAGGAAGTGACAAAAACAACTTAAACTGCCATTTGTACATTTGACAATAAGTTCTTTCAGTTTACAGGCATAATACTGGCCAGAATCCTATTGGTGTCATGTATGAGTTGCACAGTTTGCCATACTTAATTGTGACAAATTACACTGTTGCATCTCATCAACTGGCTGCATTTAGCCACAGCAGGTTACTCAAACATTGGTGGGCACCAATAAGATTTCAGCCATTCAACAAATTTTTAATGTTCCACAAGTATGGTATGTTCCCTTTCTTACAGAATAAAATCTGTTGTTCATGGATTGCTGAGATACTTTTTTCCGTTCATGTAGTAAAAGTAGTAGTTTGCTGATTACAGACGTTGGTGGTGAATAGTATCGTGTTTGTGTAACATTATGGTAATTTAGACCATGAGCATACTAACTGAGTTTCTCTCTTATTTCACAGTGAGTACTGCACCACAACCCAAACCAGTAAGTGTGGTATCTTTTGCCTATAGAACTGAATGAGGACTGTATTTAGATATATATAATTTCATACTATATTTAGAGTGCTATAGAAAGATGCTTACTGAGAGCATATTGGACATACTGTAGATTTGCTGTCCTCAGTATTCGCAGGGCTTAAATTTTGGCATATTGTCATAAACATTTCTTTCCCTTCTCTTAATGGGTTCTCTTTTTATGCCATAGTAAGATGGAGAATAGTCAGGTTTGTCCCCAGGCATATATATCAGCTTGAATACTGTGGTATCTGGATGGCTGCTGTGGAAGGAAAATACTGGACCAGATGGGTCTTAGGCCTGACTTTTAAGTGAGGAAATTCTCAATGAATCCATTTTGCCCAGAAAATTTTCTGGGCAAATCGACTCCTGCTGAATTCTTGCTAGACGGTTAAATGACTAAAATGAAGCTATCCTTTTTGGACATATCATAAGAAGACAAGATTCACTGAAAATGACAATAATGCTAGGAAAAGTGGCAGTGGAAAAAGTGGAAGACCTAACAAGAAGTATTCACTCAAAAAAGGAAGCCACAATCTTTCGTTTGTAAGACCTGAGAAGGGATGTTAATGATAGGACCTTTTGGAGGTCATTAATTCATAGGATTTCCATGAATCAAGAATTTGATCACACTTAACTATAGCATTAAAAGGGCTTTCATTTTTAAGCTCTGAAATATCTTGAACATATTTGTTAGAGACAGTGTTTTTCACAGACAGATGAAAAAATACAGGTAATTTTACAAGCTTCTCTTTCTGGCATCAAACATTCATGAACACCCAAGAAGGTGCCTTTAGGCCAGTTCTGGTGGACAGTGTAATCGTAAGGAGCCCGTATGTTGTCTTCTATATTGTACACTTAATGGCATTGTGAATGTCATACAAATATTACAACAATACAGTTGAGACCTATTTGAATGGCTACATTAAGTTTATAACTTCTGTAAAACAAAGTTGACTAGATGATTTGTCATTACAATAGGCAGCAGATGCTTCAGGGTTATCATTCATGTATTTACACTGCAGGCTGACAAAATGTCAAAAAATAAGAAAAAGAAATTGAAAAAGAAACAGAAACGGCAAGCAGAATTGCTGGAGAAACGAATACAGGAAATTGAGGAGATGGAGAAGGAAGGAAGCCCTCTAGAAGTACAGCCTGAAGAGCACCAAGAGGTTCCAAGACCACTTGAGCTCCTTTTAAAAGAAAGCCCCCCAGATGAAGGAGTACCAGCAAAGACAGGTATTGCTCTTCAGAAACATAAGCGCATTGGGTAAGCCCCCCAGATGAAGGAGTACCAGCAAAGTCAGGTATTGCTCTCCAGAAACATAAGTGCATTGGGTATATATTTGTTTGTTTATTTGTTTATTTATTTATTTGATTTATTTATTTGATTTATTTATTTGATTTATACTCCGCCCATCTGGCCTAAAAGGCCACTCTGTTGGTTCATCCTTCCACATTAAGGAGGTTTCACAATAAGATTCATCAGCAAATATTTACGAAACACAAGCTTGAATGCATTGTATTTTGCTAAGCATTATTGTAAGAACATGCTAATCTCTAGGTCAGCATTTCCTGCAGTGTAATGAACGCTGTCTAGAGTACTCAGAATACTGGGTATTGCAGAATTCTAGTGCACTTGTATATCTGATCACTACATCACAATATTTAAAACAGGTTGTACTATAATTCTGTCCAGGTCTAAGCCTTAACCAATAAATTTGCTAATCTCCCTCCCCTTTTTTCCTCTAGAAGATGTTTCTCTTGTATCAGAGCAAACAATCTTAATGGAAGGAGTTGAAAAGTGCATAACAGAAATCAATTGTAACGGAATGGTGCAAGTGGCTTCCTTTTCTGACTCTATCAATGAAGTGTCAGTGAGACTGGAGGAAGACCTTCATAATGCCAACGATTGCAGTGGTCCTTGTCTGGAGCAGGAAGAGGGTGAGAGCTGTGGTTATAGTCAAAGTACTGGTGGTTCAGAGAACAGGATAGAGGAAGCTGGATCAGACTCTAGTGCACCCTTAATTACAGAGGCTGTGGATTCAATGGTATGCCAGGGGACTTCAAGTGATGAACAGTATCTCAGTGAACAGCAGATCAACAATTTGCAAGAGAGCATCAGGGCAGAAATACCTTCAGAAGATGAGAACGAGAACAATGGGGCCTCTGAGAACAATAAAGGTATTGTATGTGGGTTCTGTGTAAGAAATAAGTTTTCAGGAAGGTTATTCTAAAAAACAAATAGCTGCAACTGATAGCTGCAGGTAGTTCCCTCAGAGCTGTGAAGCTCCTGATGTTCCTGTTTACCACTATCATTGAAGCATCACTGCTAATGGAAAAGTGGCAGAAACTGGTAGCATAACAGAATTTTTCTATTTGTACTTGCCTTTCTAGAAGTGGGGAGGTGCTCTTCCTTCCAGACTGGCCAAGTTCCATAGTGGAAGAGGACATTGACTTCTACATTATAGAAAGCTGCTGAAGGATGTTTCAGTGTAGTTCCATGCCTATCACACCTATAGAATATGGAACAGCATTTCTTGTCTATGCTGTATAGACCTAATAGCTATGTGTGTCTTACATACATGATCTCTGCAATCTTACTACAGTCTTGTATGACAGGGTTTGTTATATTTCCCATAAAGGCAGGTTAACAGTTTTTTTTTTAAGGCCAACCAGCAGAGTTATATGTGGTTAATCATACCTCTGATTGAAATAAGCCAGTTTCATTACTTGTGATACACAATTGATTTGTTTGTTTCAAACCATTGATACTTAAAACTTAGCTGATTTGCACCAGAATGAATATGAGAGCACATGAACGTGAGGTTTATTCCGGTCACAATAAACATGGTTTATTGTCACTCCTGAATCAGATTGATGTGAATCTAATACTTGAGACCAGAATTAAGTACTGTTCTGGTGAGAAGTCATTTTGGGACTGTGTGGCAGATGGTGCCTCAGCCATAAGAAGTTAACAGCTGTTGTTCATGCTGTGTCTAGGGAAATCTGCTGCTGGAAACTTCCTCCTTAATCCTCTTGATCCTGCGAATGCAGATAAGCTCAAAGTGAAGATAGCTGATCTGGGAAATGCGTGTTGGGTGGTAAGTTTAAAACCCTTTCCATGCTAGAAGAGAAACCTTAGTCTTGCAGTTGGCGCTCATGAATATTGTCTCCCTACTTCTTATATGTAAACATTGGATTGTTAAAATGTCAGCTTACCAGTCAATGTCTTTTCATCTCTTAAGCGTTGCTTGGGGAAAAGGAGGAGCTTGCGCTGTTACTCACTCTAGGTTTCAGGGGCACTTAGTAACTGGTGGGACTTTTTGCAGCTTCCAGATGCCTCCAGAATTGAGTTCAACATCAGACATTGGAATCTCCCACATCACACTCTAGCAACCACATGATTTGGACACTACCATGGCCAGGCAACATTTGTGAATGGCAGAGTCTCAGCTTATGCTTCAAATGTTTGTTGCTTGGTTATATTTAAAATTTTTGATCAGTAATTCAGATTGCAGTCTGAAAAAGTTGTTCATTGCTGTTAATACAAGGGGAGATAAAATTTTGGGTAGTGGCTACTGTCATAATAGAGCCATCCTTTCCTATGATGGAGAAGAGATGCCTCTTCATTTGGAAATTAAACATTTCTGATTTCTCCTTTAAAGGTCCCGAAGCTCTTGTGTAATCACTTTCATCAGTGGGAAGGCATAGAGGCTGAGGGATGGGGGCAGGGGTTGTCTTTAATTACTGAAAAGCAGAGCTACCATGTCATCAGTGTAATGTAGTGTAACTTATATCCGCAGGATTTCAGCCATTGTATAGTAACAGCATGCAAACTAATTTCAGGTATCTAGCCTGATAGTGACTTACCACATTACTGTACTGAAATTGCACCAGTCCCATGACACATGGATTTGCATGACACTTTCTTGAATCTTCCTTGCTGAAAGAATAAGCACTTATTGTGAAAATGCCATTTCTATAAATTGAGAGAACAGGACTTTATGTCTTGTGATATCATAAATGCAGGGCTCTGTCCAGGGCAGCATCACTTTTACAGTCATATGTTACATATTATGCAAGCACTGTTCATATGTCAGATCTTAAAGCTCTGAGGCTGATATGTAAAGACTGAGGAAGGAAGGATTCCAGTTCATCTTTACTTGTTGTGCCTTTTCTGTTTGAACTTAAGTATAAGCACAGTATGCCTTTCTTCTGCAGCATAAACACTTCACTGAGGACATTCAGACAAGGCAATATCGATCTTTGGAAGTACTGATTGGAGCAGGGTACAGCACCCCTGCCGATATTTGGAGCACAGCCTGCATGGTGAGTTCAACCATGCTGCCTAAATCTTTCCTGTCGTATTTATTTTAGAGTTCTGCAGGAATCCCAGGTATCCTATTTACTGCTAGACTATAATAAACTAATTAATCTGTTTTTAAAATTTTATCTTCTCTTTCCAATTTCATTTGTATGCTTTTTTTATACTTTCCACTGCCCTGACATTTGATACAATGATGGATGGTATGCATCATCTTAAATAAGTCTAGTGAATCTTTCATTCAATAGAAATAAGCTTGTTTTGAAAAGTTGGCAACGTTATAGTAGTAATAACACACACTGGTATGCCTCGCTTGTTTCAGACTTACCGATTGAAATAACTGAGAGGCCTGAAATACAAAAAAAACAAACAAACAAACAAACAAACAAAACAAAAAAAACCCAAAAAAACCTCATCTGTATTCTCATTCATTATTTTAGTAAGCAAGTTGCTGTTGTTTATGGACACTGCTTAAATCAGATTTGCTTATTTGATAGAACTTTGAAATAATACCATAAAGTAGAATAAAAACATCAAAGGCCCTTAAAAGACCAACATGGATGTAGACTGCAGTCCTCTTCATCAGATGCACGCTGTGTAGCCTCATTTGTTGTCTGCTAGGTGAGTCTACACCCCATACCTCTGATGAAGTTGGCTGCAGTCCATGAAAGCTCATGCTTGTTTGTCAGTAATGCTCCACAATACTCTTGGATGTTTTTACTTCTCTTGAAGTAAAGCAGTGTGATGAGTTCCTTTCTCCTGCACAGAAGAAATGTGTAGTTTGGGTTGTGTTTGTAACACTTAACAGCTGCTCCCAAATAAAAAACTTGAAACATGTCTTTCATTTTCTTGTCTAGGCTTTTGAGCTGGCTACAGGTGACTACCTGTTTGAGCCTCATTCTGGTGAAGACTACTCACGGGACGAAGGTAAGAACTATGGACATGATCAACTGAATTAGTTGAAATGGCATTGCTTGAGCAGAAAATGAGAAGCAGCTGCATTTTTTATCGTTTATTTACCCTTTCCCCCAGTTACACTAAGTATGTTTGGGGTGCACTGAAGCAGATTAAAGAAATTTGACTTCAGGCAATGGGACGTGTACAACATCAGACTTAAAAGCATGAGAAGCATGTAGCATCTAGTTTTCCCTCCAGTATGGGAATATTGAAGGTATTTGTCTTTCTGAATGTCTATATGAAATTGCCACAATTACTCCTTTCTAATTAATGTGCAGAACAGGATTTATGGACCTTGCATTTCTGTCAGTGTTGCAACACAAGTCTTGGCAGATTAAATATATTAGAATATACATTTAAATATGTATTTTGAGCTTGCTTAATTGCAGATTAATAAGGAAAAGGGAAGGATTAATGGTAAAATATGTTAAAGTAATTATGGTGACCCTTTTCAGGGTTTTCCAGTTAGAGAATAACCAGAACTTGTTTACCATTCCCTTCTTCTGAGATATCCCAGGACTGTGCAGCTTGCCCTGGCCACACAGCCTGGCTCTACTCACAAGAGGCATAGTGAAGAATCGAACTCCCAACTTCTGGCTCCACAGCCGGATACCTAAACTACAGAGCTATGCGTAATTATGGTGACCCTTTTCAGGGTTTTCCAGTTAGAGAATAACCAGAACTTGTTTACCATTCCCTTCTTCTGAGATATCCCAGGACTGTGCAGCTTGCCCTGGCCACACAGCCTGGCTCTACTCACAAGAGGCATAGTGAAGAATCGAACTCCCAACTTCTGGCTCCACAGCCCGATACCTAAACTACAGAGCTATGTGGACAGTTCCTATTTAGGCCCTCCCAGTCTTTATGAAGAACTCAGGTTATATTCCAGCACAGAAAAGAATATGCTTAACCTCAAGGATTTCAGTGAACTGAAGTAAACTTAACTATGTGGCTATATTTTACACATGCTTGTTAATATTGTAGGGTAGGAAATAGATTGGATCCTGTGGTTGTACTGTATTTTCAAAAATATTAAATTTTGATAGAAACTTCAAAAATGACAGGAAATTATGGTCATCCTTCTGCACAAGGACATTGAGTTAATCTACTCTGGCCAACACAAACCTCTATATTAGGAATAGAAATGTAGGTGTTACCTTTCTATGAAAAATAAGGTTAGGCAATTAGAATCATTCAGCCAATAACTAATAAAATAAAAAACGACTAACCGGGGTGGATAACATGCAGCCCCAGGACCATTTTTATGGGCCCAAACCCCATCATACACTTGAAAATATAATTTTGGGGGCAATGTCTGTTTGCCGGAAAACTCCCTTGTACCCTTTCAGGGCATGAGAGCAATTTTGCCATGTTTTGAAGGGACTGTAGGATCCCTGAGGCCCCCATTCCCCTTCAGTTACTAAAAAAAGTTTTGATTTTAGCCACTAGAGGGTACAGAGCAGCTTTTTCAATTTAAAAAACTTGCTTATTTTTTAAAAAGTTTGACCCAGTTAACAAAAACCCATCACAGTAACCTTTAGTAGGGCAGAAACATTTGGCTCTGTTTCAGTTTATTTTCTCTTGGGGAGGATGGAGTACTACTCCTTTAGAATATGATGAAAGGGGCACCTCTTTTGAGTCATTTTGTTTGGGGGTTTTCATTAGTTTTTCGGGCAAGGCAAGGAGAGGGAAGAGAAAGTGGTGTAGATAGATATCTTAAGGAGGCTCAAAGCTGTGACAACAATGAGGGAAAAGGAAAGGGTGGAGGAAGAATGGAGCTGCGTGACAGAGCCAGGAGGTTTGTGGTGGTGGCAACGTAAGGAGAGGGAGAGAGAAAGCAGGGTGAGCAGCCAATTTGTTTGAATATCAATAAGAGATAATTTTGCACACATGGGTCAAACAGAGGCAACACAGTAAAGGAAATCTGCTGGAAATCTTACATTATTATGATCCTCTTTTTAATTAAACTGAATGAATTGGATTTCAAAGCCTCTATCAGAAATTACTGAAGTAATCCAGTATCAGAAATAAGTCTGTTTAGTGTTTTTCCACATTAGTGTTAACCTGAAAATTCTATGCCCTGACCTTTACCCAATACATAAGCATTATTGTGTTTGATTGTTTAGCATACAAGTTATCCTTTTTTAACCTTTAACCCCTTCCCATTAAACCCAGCACTTTGAGAGTGTGGGCTTGGACAGTTGGCAGATGTGAAAAAAGGCCCTTAATCCCACTGAGATCACCCATAGTAATGCGCTAGAAAAGAAACAGTTTCTTCTAATGTCCTGTAGGCCCAGATCATGGAAAGCCAAGCTTTATAAATCAGCAGGCTTCACAAGGCCAGAGTTGAGAGCTCCCAACAGTGTGAAGTGTCTACATCTGTTTTTGAAGCACTGCTTTTTAACGAGACAGCTTCCAAAGACTGCACACCCAGCTGAAGTTCAGAGGAAAGTGAATTCTGAGGTCATACCAATACTGTTTCTTTCTTGTTTTCTCCGGGGGAGCACAGACCACATTGCTTTGATCATAGAACTTCTAGGGAAAATACCTCGCAAACTCATTGTGGCTGGAAAATACTCCAAGGAGTTTTTCACCAAAAAAGGTAAGGAGGAAAGAATGTGATATTTTCCTAATGCCTGTGATTGAAAAGATAAGGATTCTCATCTGGGCACAACTAGAATATCCTGGTCAGCATAATTTTTCTTCAAGAGAAGAGTACCCACTTTCTTTATTGAACAGTGGGTTGGATACTGCTCCTTTATGATTATTTGTATGTTTAATTCTTTGCAGCAGTCACACTTGTTTTAATTATTACAATCATCTCTTCAGAATTTAAAAGGGCAACATTTGAACGGAAAATAAATAGCTAGTCCTATGAGAGAGGATTGTTTCATTTCAAGTCACAAGTTTAAAATAATACATGGATCTTTAAAGTTTGGTGACTGGCTACATGGGCTTGTATGAAATTGTTCATGCCAACTAGGGTAGATTGGTTGAATCAGTGGGATTTACTATTTTGTTATTTTTTTAATTTAAAATATTTTTGTCCCGCCTTTCTCCTTGAAAAGACCCAAGGCAGCTGACATCATTAAAATAGTATTTAAAAGCTAGAAACAGTAAATATATAAACATTTAAAAAGAATTAAACAAGTATTATATTAAAATGTTAACTATGATCAATATTAAAATACATTTAAAACAACAGAGCACAACATTTAAATGCCCCCCTCCCCAAGACTACCAATCTTTAAGGAAAGGTCTCCCTGAAGAGAAAGGTCTTTGCCTGCCTGTGGAAAGACAGCAAAAATGGGGCCAACCTAGCTTCCCGTGGGAGGGAGTTCCAGAGTCTGGAGCTCTATCTGACACTCCTAAATGTGGCTCATGTGAGAGAAAGCCTCAGCTAAAAGACTGTGAGGCCTGGTTTCCTGTTCAGAAAGAAAGCTCCCAACTAGCACTGGAGTTAGGCCGAACTTAGCCTCAAAGCCGTCTGACTTGGGCCTGCCTTCCAAGTGAGCCACATTTTGATATTTATAAGGTGTGTCAGGTACGACTCCAGAAATAGAGAATTGTGGAAGTTGTAATCCAAGAAATCTGAAAAATCCATTGCTATTTAGATACATGTTGCACCACTTCAGCAAGTGACATCTTGTGTCTTAATGTTGCCAAAAAAGGAAGCTATTTAAGATACATATGCTAGTCAGAATGTTATTTTCTAGGAAGAACATTTAACTGGGCATGGAGGACCACTGATTTTGACATCCTGTTTAGGAGTGTTACCAAATAAGAAAGCTATTAAAATATGTATGCTAGTCAGAATGTTCTTTTCTAGGAAGAACATTTAAACCTGCCAAGGAAGACCTCTGTTTCTCCACATGTTTCAAACTGGAATTCTCATAATCCCTCACCACCAGCCATGCTACCTTGGGCTAATGGGATTAAAAGTCAAAAATATTTGGAGAGTAAAAGGCTCCCCACCCCACTTTATTTGGACTCACATTTTGGGCCAAAGGTGAGAGAATCTAGAATATCAGACCTTTCAGACTTCCCTTGGAATCCAGCATCAAAGTATATGCCATATTGGAAACAATATTTCTTATCTGCTCCTGCTCTATAAAACCCCCACTTATTTACTTAGTACAGTGGGGTCTTGACTTGAGAACTTAATCCGTATTGGAAGGTGGTTCTCAAGTCAAAAAGTCTGTAGGTCAAGTCTCCATTGACCTACAGTGCATTGAAAACCGATTAATCCCATAACAGGCCGTTTTTGTTCCTTTTTTTTTTCTGGTCTGTAAGTCAATTCTCAGGCTGCAAGTCAAACCTAAATTTTGCGGCCAGAGAAGTCTGTAACTCAAAAAGTCTGTAAGTCAAGCCACCTGTAAGTCAAGGGTCCACTGCATCTAATGAGAGATATGGAAGATGAAAGGTTATCCTTTTATTACTGAGGAGCATTATTTAAAGTGGCACTAAAGTTCTGCCACTTGCTTTGTTGACCTGTCTGTTCATGTTAAGGGCATCCTTTTAATCCTTCTGTCTTTCTTCTCAGGTGATTTAAAGCACATCACCAAACTGAAGCCATGGGGCCTTTTTGAAGTTTTGGTGGAGAAATATGAGTGGTCCCAAGATGAGGCAGCTGCATTCACAGACTTCTTGTTACCTATGCTGGAGCTGAACCCTGAGAAGAGAGCCACAGCAGCACAGTGTCTCAGGCATCCCTGGCTGAATTCTTAGATGTTCCAAGTGTGACACCATACCCCTATCATTGGGTTTACAGCATAATACATATATACATACCCAGATGTCCCAACTGTCCCCTTTCCCTTCTTCCACATCAGTTTTTTCCTTGTCGATTTCAGAGCGAAGCTCCTCTCTGAGAGCTTTTGAGATTTTAGATAAATCTAACTGTTCATGTCAGTTTGTGTACTCGACTCAGTAGGGACTGTTGTCAGCCAGTGGGCATCCAATATGTTTTGCTGTGATTGGAGTTTGCCAAAGAGTTTTCACACGGATGTGAAATTGCCCCCAACTCTCTTCCTTACTCAAGTTCCTTGCCCTGAAAGTGTGGGAAAATCTTCATTGATATATGCTCCTTTAACTATATTGCAGTCATCCCAAGGGGGATGTGAAGAGCTGTGAATCCCTCCTTAGCTCACTGACTCCGGGAGTCATTTTCTTAGTGCACATCCAGATGCTGACAGTAAGAGGAGAAATGGCAGATGGCACCAAGGTGGTAGCTCCATGAGGAGCACTGAACTCTACTCAGACTCATTCCTTAGGTGTCTACTCTGCTGATTGGGTAACTTTCTTTGTCTTATTATTATTTTTCAGACGTACTTTTCTCTAGTTTTAGCCATTGAATATTTTGAAACAATATGTATAAAATATATATATATATATTAGCAGGATTTTTGTTCCCTCATTGTTCAGGTGAGTTTCTGAGTCCAGTGAAACAAATTGTTTTCCAAATCTGGAGTGGGTGAACTTCAGTCCATTTCACAATGGTGATAAAAGCAGTGGGAAATGGTGAAGGGATCATTGTCTACAATTGGTGTGAGGAACAGAAAATCCTCCAGATGCTGGATTGCAGCTCTCACAATCCATTATCGTTTGCCTAACCCAGGGCTGATGAAAGTTGCAGTCTTACAATCTCTGAAGGACCAGATGTTCCCCACCCATGCTGTACAGTATGGATCTATGCATTTTTTTGACTGCAGAGGGTAGTCAGACTGCCCAAGCTCTAGGCTTAGGCAAAAAGTGGCCTACCTGCTATGTTTTTGTAGTCCAGTAGGTGTTTGACATCCGCACAGGTTTCTGCAGTTTACAAAAGCAGGACGATTATCAAGCAAGTGGCCGGCCGCTTGCTGTGTGGGTTAGCCTTATGCCATCAGTACCATTATGCTGGCTTTCTATAAAATTATAATTTTACTAGAAAGCTGTTATTTTTCAGGAAAAAAGATAGGATATATCCTTATTCTTTCAAGAGATCAAGAAAGATCGTATTGATGGCTATCTTTCTCACCATGCTGTTTGCCCAGACATCGATCTGCCATATTTCCAAGTGCTAAAGGATATGTAAAGGAGTTACCTTGTCCAAAGTTCCAGACTCCAGAAATGGCCTTCTGAATAAAATTTCTACTCTTTTCTTATGCATTGACATAGGACAAATATTATAGGGGAAGCATTGTTGGTTTTTTTTCCTACTATGGATAAAAGTCTCAAGTTCTGTTTTCCCCTCCATAGAAGATACCTACCATTACAAACATGGTTGTTCAGCAGAATACAACATCAGTTTTTCAACTCCTAGAAGCAAGAGTGAGTTGTGATTGACTTTTACAGACTTCCTTACTTTAATAGAGAAGAGGGTAGCATTTGCTTGTTTTTAAAAGGGTGTCTCCAAGGCTTCACTTTTATTAAAAGATCCCTTGCATTCTGATATAATGTTAGGTTTGGATAAGTTGGGGCTTCCAGCATCCTTCCTGGAACATGGACCAAACAGGGCTTTGAGGTTGCAGAATTCTACATGGGTGGAAAACTCAGAGTTCTAGCCACTGTTGGACTATACTGTGCAAAAGTTGCCAACAGTGAGACACCCTTCTCAATTGTTTTCTCTGTGTGGGAGATCCCACTTTATAGTAATTTTAACATCCACACATCCCCCATCCTTTAAAAAACATACACACAGAGACATACACGGCCAGATGCAATTTTTTTTTATTCCTCTAAAAATTAACATAAACTTGGTATCCCTTTTGCTTTATAACATAGCCATGCTATCATATGATGGCAGACTGATGTTCAACAAAATCTGTGCTGTCTGACCATTCAGAAGATCATAAGGTTCCCTATGCACAATTAAAATGGGAGTTCCCATTTTGTAATTATATTTCTGTTATCTAGAATGTCTTCCCTACATCCCAATAGCACTTCTCTATCTGTTTTGAAGAAGATTTAAGATTCAACTTGATTCTATGCTACTTTCTCTTACATACTGTGAAGACTTGCTGGCAAGGAGAATTGAATTTCTGGTGTCATGCAACCTAGTTGACTTCAACTTCCTTGCTACCTAAATGGTGGAAAATACCCACAGGTGGGTGGGGGCAGCATCTCTTGTTTCTAGTATAGGTTCCCCTCCATAGAAGATACCTACCATAATCTCTTTTGCACTAAAAGAGAAGTTTGGTGTAATAAAAGTGATAGGCAAATCAGATAAGCTATCTGTTTTGTGGTTCGCATCAGTTTCACTCAATTTCCAAATTGCCATGAAGTTCTCACTGATCAATTTGTATTTGTTTTGTTGGCCTAAAATCTGAAGGAAAAAGAAATACATTTTTATTCTTCCTATTTGGTGCATTGTCTTTTTTCTTTGTAAATGCAGCACAATAAATAATTATTAAATAATCAGGGGATGCTTTTATTACGCTGTCTATTCATTCAGTGAAACCTCTCACCAGAACAGACTATAAGACACAGAGAAACCTGAATCGAATACAAGTAGTACAGGTGTAATTGTCGCATGGAAGTGGGGGCAGTATTGCTGAATAATTGGAGGGGAAAGGAGGAAATTACTACTCAGTTCATATGAGTTTCCACTTTTAGGCTGGACATTTCATTATCTCAATTTAAACTAAAATGTCACTTGGTAGAACTGGGAGCTTGATTTAGCTGTGCACTGGCCTGCCTTAACATTTGCCTTAAAATGTTAAAATTTGCTTGGTGGTGGTTAGAATTGCCCTGGATACTGGCTCACATAAAGAACCTAGATTCAGAAAAGATCTAAAGTGGAGTGGGCTGAAACTGGACTATTTTAGTTGTGATCAAGGACCTCATTATAAATTGTTGCCTACCAACGACACTATATTTTAGCTCATCTTTGTAAATGGTTACCTTAATCTCTGGGAAATCTCGGTAAATATCATGAACATAAGAAAAGAAAAGATGAATTTCAAAACCTAGAAATTGTGAAACTTAACTATGGTTACCAGCATTCTATGATTCACAGTACAATAACTTGAAAGAGACAATTTCAAAAGCAATTTATCATACAGGATAGAAAACTCTCAAAGGAGGATGGCAGCCATTGGCTGAGACATTCCTAAATTGACTGCCATGTAAATAGTATGGTCTGTTTCAATTTGACGTGATGTAAAGTGGTTCGCATCAGGAGACTTGTTTGTGAAATATGCTATTAAGAATAATTTCCCTCAACTACTGAGGGCAGAATTCTGTTCCACCTATAGCTTGTGGAACAGTCTGTTGTGCAACAGTTAAACAAGTTATGAAAATATTGATTCTTACATAAATATAGTTTTCTGCAGAGAAATGTCTTCAGTGTCATTTCGTGCAAAGCTAAGCATTTTCAATGAGGCGTGTGTCCAGGTTTCAGATACTCATGACAGCTTTCTGTGGTGGGCTCTTCTCTGGTACTGCATAGTATTAGTAATTCCAAAACTGGTGGCTGGGTCTAGCTTCTCCGTTTAATTTCTCACAGTATCCTGAAATCATACTACATTTGAGACATTTTTCAAGGCTTAAAAAGAAGTCAGGGCAATTGCCATTGGGAACAAATGAGGTTCTTGGAGCTGAGCAGCAATCTAAGGACTCTAGTTGCTGATGCCAGTCTTAGGGACAGACTGAAGTAGCTTCCTGCAAGAAGCAGGAAGTCAATTTTGCAATCACCCTTTTTGTGGTTTCTCTTGTTCCTTTTGTCAAAGTGTAGCCAAATGTTCATGGATGACTTTAAAGGAGGAGTGGTGTATGTGACAACCAAGTGTGTCAGGTAACCTTCGTGAGTTGCTTTAAAGTTGGAAGTTTCACTGTCTCAATCCAGTTCAGCCAAAGGCAGAAATAGATAATGCTTGAGATGGTCACAGTCTTACTGCTCATGCATTTCCTTCCTCTGCAACACAAAAGAACATTCAGTTGATGATCTAGAAAATTGTCTCCTTTCAAATACTAGCACAACCATCTACCAGGACTTGATCTAAGAGTACATGATGCAGTTGTGAAGCAGTGCTAGATATGGTCCATATCTGGATAGGAGGTCACCTGGCAACCTTGTGTTCCATTAGCTTGATTTTAATAATAGAACAGTGGGATGCAAAGGTAATTGTTAACAGACTCAGAAATCAAGGCTTCATAAAAAGCACCAATCCTGCACAAGCACAAATTTCAATTAATTGAGCAGGTAACCAAAGTGTTCAACATCTGGACACTACAGCTGACTTTTAATGCAGCCATCTCCCTCGACTCAAGGCTTGCCAAATCATTCTCCAGTCATCTGTAATTTGGACTGCTCTTAATGAGTGGCTGCTAACTCATTTGTTCTATGTGATGTTTGTTACATTTAAATCCTGCCTTTCCTCCAGTGAGCTCAAGGTGGTGTCACAGCTCTCTTCATTTTCAATATGCATCAATCCTGGGAGGAAGGTTGGTCCAGGAGAGAATGACAGACTCAAGATGTTCCAGTGATTTCTGTAGCTCACTAGGGACTAGAACCTGCACCTCCCAAATCCCACTTAAACCCTCTTTTAATTAGTATAACACACTGCATCTCTTCAGATCTATGACTGCTGGTGGAACATTTGTCTACCTGGTGGGGGGGGGAGGATATCTTACCTTTATTTTCCACTTGAAAGTCAGAGGGCAGGAGATTGTCTTGCCGGTTGCCAAGCACAAAGGCCAAGAAAGAGAGGATGAGAGCATCAAGGATACCAATGATGCAGAGGATATATGCCCAGCGCACCGTGCACACTCCCAGTGTGTATTTGTCTGTCTTCTCACCGCACATGCGCTTTACCTCGGGGGAGTCCCAACCATCAGGATAAAGCAGGCATCCTATTGACAAGCCTGCACCTGTGGAGTGGGAGGGGGAAAGAATAAGCCATTAGAATTTCAAACTAAATGCTTGGCATTTGCACATGGCATCTAGTTTCATTCAGGGAAGACAGCAGTGCAAAGGATCACATTTTGTAAGCAGGTTTACAGATGTCACTCTGGCCCTGTGAATGTTCCTGTGAATGTTCCTGAGACAGATACCCAATGTCACTCTGGCCCTGTGAATGTTCCTGAGACAGATACCTAGAGAGCAAAAGCAGAGCTAGGTGGGATTGAGGGAAATGGGGAGAATGAAAATTCAGGGAACTTGGGGATAACAATGGAGTGATTTATTCACATCACACCACCTTGAGAGGGTCTAAAAATCAACCTCAGGTGCATAAAAATTGACTACCCACCTCTCCATCCATTGAGCATGAGTAATGGAAAGTGTACTTACTGTTCGGGTGATTTGCCTTTGATAGCCACTCTTTTAGCTTTGCCTGGATTTCTCAACCCAATCTTAAACCAAGAACCAGAGTCCTAGTTGTGGAATCCAGCTTCAACACCAGACCTTTCCTTCACAGCTCAGTAACCAAGCTCGACATGTATCCCAAGACTAGGAAGAATGCTGCTAGACCATAAGGCATGGAAGTTGTTTATAGCTCTTGCTATGTTGTTTGGCTCTCAAACATGTATGCATTGAGCCTACACGTGAAATCCATTGAGAATAAATAGACAAGCCTGAGGACTACACTGTTGCTAGATGTAGTTCTGTGATCTGGCCAACTTTTTTCAGTTCTGATATGAATATGGGGCTTGCTTACAAAGTTACTCCATTTTGGGATGAATTAAAATTATTCCCTACTATTTTATTTAGATAATGAGGTCACACCTTGCCACAGTTAAAGCTATTTCCACATGATGGAATGGGATGTGCTCCAGCATTATTCAAGGGTAACTTCACAACAAAGACCTGCCATAGATGGATCAAGCCTGAAATAGACACAGGAGCATCTTTTCCAGTGGCAGTTGCTGGACTAGCTGAGTTTTACCAGTACAATCGTTCAAACGGCTGCTAAATGCTTTATGTCAATCTCATTCATAGTATTCCAATAATTTAAAACATCTATTTAAATGCAACACTGTCAAAAATGTTTTGCAGCCTTGTTTGCATGATATCTTGAGATTCCATGGGCTATATTTCATCCAAAGCAAGCATGTCTATACCACAGATGCTGTGTAGCTTATTTATTCATATAAACTACTTCCATTTTCCTTACAATCCCCAGAGGTTCTCAAATTGCTGACAGAAGATTCATAAAATAAAATTACTGTAAAAACTATCAGAACATTCATTACATGGTGTCTATCACATCTTGGAAAAGTTTCTTATGTGATAATAAACTTCTGCTCCTCAGGGAACCATGAGTATTCTGGCACTTGTGGTGAAGAATTTCAGCTTACTCTCAGCATCTCGCTGCACTCCAGTTTGCAGCGATATTTTGGGGACAGAGCAGAGCCATGATAATGGAAGTGATATGCCTTTGAAGCATTCACATGCCTTTGCAAGACCACCTAGTTCATCTTAAAGCACTACCAGTAATCTGCCTCCTACATTCTCACCCCAGAGGGAGAACAGATTCTTCTTACAAAGTGAAGAGCCCAGCATGACTCATCCAAGCCAGCTAAGGGTGCAACTACACCTTGTTTCGATGCAATTCACAGATTGCATTATGTCTGAAATCACAATCAGTGTTCAGACAGGAGCCATGGATTGATTTGAGAGTTCACTCTTCATATTGGATTCAATGCAAGTTGCATTCCAGCCCACACCCCCTTCTTTCCTTCCTTCCTCTGGTCCCAGCTCTGTCTATCCTTTGTTCCTCTAGTCCTGTCTCTGCTGATCCTTTTATGGTTTGTTGTGAAGCTGCTTTCTCATTTAAAGCTTCAGCCTATTACATTTCTCAAAACCTTTTCTGTAGAAAAATAACATGAGAAGAGTATCCTGATCAAAAGTTGAACAGGAATTTTGCAAAATACATCATAATTCACACCTTTTCTGTAGAAAAATAACATGAGAAGGTATTTGTCTAAGAGTACAGGATATCAAAAGTTTGAACAGGAATTTTGCAAAATACACCATAATTCATGTGCCAGAATAATTCCATATCAGGGATCACCACTTTCGCCTCCCCACCCATTACTCTTTCCCCTTATTTTCAAGTAATGCATGCAGGAATTACCTCATCTCTGGTGACATATGATTTTAAACCACTGGCATGATAAATTTTTAATTTTGCTTTCAGACCTGTCAACTAAGGAATTAACAGCACTAAGATTTTGCTTCACAGCAAAAAGGCCTTCTGACAAGATCTGAAGCTTACTATGTTTGAGAAGATTCAGTAGTATCCCCTACATTAAAATCACAGTGCTTTGTTTTGCATGTCCCTACCCCTTGGTTCTAAACATCATGTTCTAATTGCTTATGTCACTGAAACACCATCTACAGACACATATCCTGTCTTTAGAAGAATGTATCACAACTAACTGCATGGGGGAAAGCCCATTCAAATAATTCTGGCTTGAAAAAATAGAACTCCCCCAGCAGCAGAGAGGGGGAAAATGCTTTGAGAGTGAAAAGGGTGGGACTAATTTGAATGAGCCTTTATATCATGCATTTAGTAAAAAAAAAACTTTGAATTCACTTGTTTTATAAACAGAGGAAATCCCATGGTATTTGACCAGGTAGTTACCCTCTAAGTGGAACACACAACCTTCTCTGTGCAATATAGGTTATGACTTTAAAAAAAAGAGAGAGAGAGATGGTTCTAACACAAGCATTGTTCTGCTGATTCCCCATCACTATCATCCCATAGAGCTGGACCAGGAGAAAGTCCCTGAAAAGGAGTACAGTATTTTTGAAGGGCTCTGCGGATTCTTAAAATCACAACTGTCACTGCTGATACTCCCTGCAAAGTGGTGGGTCAGAATAAGTCTACTTATTAAGTAAATATGTTTACTTCTGAGTAATGCAACCCTTTCTCTTTGAGTAGATGGCAGTCTTCTTCACTTTCAAGCTGAGATGTATAAGATGGGTTTTTCCCCAGTGTTGCCTTTTTAGTGGATACTTTGGGGAATCATTTGCTCAGCCACCCTCTCTGGGCAATGACTAATTTACAGTAAAATGTACAGAATCCCTCCTAGGACTAGAATTAATCTTGTACCTTAAACTCAATGATTAGTCAACTCAGCAATTTTAAAGGATTTTTTTAAAAAGTAATTAAAATGTAACAATTTTTATAATTTTGAAAAACTGTAAAGCAAATTGTTCCTTTTAAAAATTGCAACTTTACTGTTAAGTTTGGGGACCCTGGAGCTCAAACTGCTGCTAATTATATTTCAAAAATAACTTTCCAAGCTCCGGAGTTACTGCCAATCAAGAAATCGGGTATATTTACCCAGGAATATGCTGAGGCAACCTAGTTCTGAATGGAATTCTTCCAAATATTATTTGAATATTGACCTTCCATTATTGTAACTAGTAAGTGTGGTAGATAAAGCTTTCAAGAAGAAAATATTAGTCTCCATTGTGAAGACTGTTTTCTGTGACACACTGCAGCTGATGTCCTAAAAAGTGTCCACCTAGACACAGTTGTTGTACTATGATATACTATCCACTAGTGGTGCATCCAGTGACAGCAGAAGTCTTTTGTGCTGACCTCTTTCTGCCTTCCTTTCTGGCTGACACAACTGATCTGTCTCCAGACACTCCGATAGCCTAGCCAACTGACTGTCATAACATGATGATGGCATCTCCTTGGCACCACTGTCCTCAAGATGGTCCTTTGAAAGTGAAACAGTGTGAGACAAGACATAGCACTACACGTTTTAACTTCCCATGAGCTTCCTTGTCACTTTTATCATATTTATTGCTTCTTGTCTTATGTCTTAATGTTCTTGCTGGGAATGGCTGATGTAGAAGTATTAAGGCCAGGAAGCCACCCCACTAACAAATGCACAGAATATGGTTTGATCTTCTCCTGAACTATTATGACATGAGCAACACGTTTCTTATTCAGAGACACTGACTCCACCCTGAGATATTCAGCAGTTTCCTTGATACACATCTTTAGTAAGTTTGCCCTCCTGCTATCAGCTAAGTGAGTTCACTTGTGAGGTATGCAGTTGAACCACAAAACCATTAAAATGTAGAGATACACATGAACTGCTCCTTGTAACACTGGAAAACAGTCTTTTATAAGATACCTCACTTCTCACTTGAATCCTTCTCAGATTTGTTAGATGATGTACAATTTTTATTTAGAGATGAATGAACCATAGGCCCCAATTTAAAGGCAGAGTCTCTTCACAATTACTTCTGTCCAAATAACCTTGTCTTGATTATGATGGGCCATGTTATTAATTTCAAAAGACTTTCCCCCAACTGATTATTTTTCTCTTTGCACACCCCCTACCTTCATCAGCTAAGTACAGTTTAGTAACAATTAGGGACGTGCAGAAACCACGTAAGCTGTTCTGTACCCAAATAAAAACCATAGAGATCATAGTCATTCCACTCTGTTCACTTTAGGAAGCATTCCAACCCTCTCTGTCCCCAGATCTGTGACATTATTTATAAGTATCCAAGTCTCCATTAAAACAAAAATCAAAGCAGAACAAAATCAAATCACCAGTGAAAGCCAGAGGTTGGGAGTTTGATTCACCACTGTCCCTCCTCAGAGGACAGCCAGCCTGTGTGGCATTGGACAAGCTGTATGGTCCTGCAGCACACCCAGAAGGGGGAATGATAAATCTCTCCTGAGTACTTTATGCTTAGGAATCCCTAGCAATGTTCACCCACAAGTCAGAATCAATTTGATGGCACATAATTGTTATGATAGATAGAACTTGCAGTGGAAAGAAAGAAAACAATGTTAAGAAGAAGGTATTATACATACACAGGTTCTCCCCACCTAGTTTATGGCAACACAAGGCCTCTGCAGGATCTCTAGTAGGAAGTTGCCAAATGTTGCTGCAGGGAGAAAAAGAACCATACAAGTAGTGCTATTCTTGTGTGCCTGGAGAATTTTAGGCAGATCTCTCCCCATTCTTCATGCCAAACTGTGTTTGAAGCTGATACATCATTTGAGAGAGCGAGAGAGAGAGAGAGAGAGAGAGAGGCTGCTGTTGAAATGGTGTTTTTTTTAAAAGCAACTCTTTTGATTTCTAAACATGAAAGCAAAAAAGGGGGTGGGTCCACCATTCTGGACATTCCCCATGTACAGTATATATGTGTTTGCAAGCATAGTGATAAGAGGTCTGCATGATAGTGGCTGTAGATGTATGAACAGTATAGATACAAAAGCTGAGTGGTGGAATGATTGGTGGATGACTGTTGAATGGGGGCCTAAATGCTGATTGACTGATGTGTTTAGAATGAGATGGAAGGTTTTTAGGGGCTGGAGAGAGGCAGTCAGTTTTAGTGAGTCTGTTTTGGAGACTTTGAGAAAGAGTTGGTTAGAAGAATGTCTGTCTTGGGTTAGAGTGTCTGTCTTGAGGAGAAAAGATTCAAGGTGTTGTGTGGAGTTTGTAGAAACAGCTAAGTAAAGTTTAAAGACAGAACAACAGATGATAAGGAAATGTGTGAGATTATGATAGATTATATAAATTATCAATTTTTATTTCAAGTTTTGACTACCTGATACAATACCATTTCCTTCCTTCCTTACATCTATTTTCCCTAATTTCTTTGATTTGATCCTTAGAAAAACTCTCATTATAAGTAGCATCTTAAAGATATTTGGCAGTCAAAGAAAACAGAGAATGTAGTACCCACATCAGCTCAGGGAAATCAGTACAAAGACATGAGTGAAAAGAAGATGAAGACTGGGATAGGAAGAAGGCAAACCTTTTCACTTAGCCATTAAATAGTACTAGCCCCAGTTGAGGCTTGAAGGCCCAGCCTGGCTGGCACAGGAAAGGGGCAGTTCAGACAGTTTTGGGGGTGAATGTCTCTTGGGCTAAAAAATTAACCTAGTGTCACTAAGGAGAGGTGGCTAGGTTTTAAGGGAAAGGTGCCAGAAAGATGCCCGTGACTACTTGAGGATTGTGTGACTCACTAGAATGACAATAGTAAGAAGGGACATCTTTTTCGGGACACTGGAGGGGTTCTTCAGTCCCAGAGCTTTCATCAACTTATAAGGACTTAGAACTTGCAAAGGTGCAATTTGACCATTTTACTGTAAAGTTCATTTAGTCATCTTAACAGGATAGATGGTTGGGCTCCTTTAGATAGTAAGGCGTGTTAATATATTCACTTTGACATGTGATTAGTAGACGTGTTGCATTTGTTGGGGAAAGAAGTCCCTGCTTATTGTTTTGAGTGACGCCTCCTGATGGTGAATTCATGTGAATGAACTCTGGAGTTCCTATGGTGCTGAGTTCTGTGCTCAGCATCAACTGTGTGATGTTCCTGTGTTTCATGAAATGCTGGAGCACCAGAGCCTTAATCATATTGGCCATCTGTATCCTGATTTTCCGCATGCTTTGTTGCTCTGTGCTGAGTGTGAACTATTTGGAAGCCTTTTTCAAGCGTCTTACTCTTAAGCTGTTTATGCTTTGGGCCCAGCTAGAATTACTATTTCCCCACTTGCCTATTTATAATGCCGGCCTTAACCTTTCTCCAACGCTGCTGTTTGTCTTAGTTTATCTTGCCGTCTTGTCTTTGGTACGAGGTACTTCCATCTCTCAGAACAGAATTCTGCGGATAATATATCAATATGATGTCACTTTTCTCAATGACATGAATATTTCAGAAGGGTTTAAAATGTCTCTATTGAATTTCAGCATCTTCCCAAAGTGGAATTAGATCTCCCAGGACTCTCGAGTTATTTATATCAACTGTACAGAATCCTTGCTGTGTCTCATCCCAGAAATCGACTTTACTGATAGGGCTTATTTACTCTTTTCAATTACATAAATAACAAACAGGAAGTACTTGATAAAGTAGAAAATTGCCACCTAAGACATGCCTAGTTAGAATGTGCTTTTTAGACAGAGTCATGTGTGTGTGTGTGATACAGCACTTGTCCTCTCTTAACTGCTACAATTCCTTTGTCTTAAAAAGCAGGGAAACCAATTACAGTACTCCCTCAGAAATGAGTTTGCTGATATGAATATGAAGGTATGTATGCATCAGTAAATGTGTTTTTCTGTTTTCAAACTGGATTATTAAATTACAAGATTTTTCAGGATTTTGCTGTTTTGACCTTATCCTTTTGTTATTTACACCCCTGCTAAATTCTCTTGTGTCATCTCAGTTACTACTACACCTAACAGATAGTAAGTTGATTTGTCCTCCTTTTCTTTTCCTTGCCTTCATCTCTTTTCCATTCGCATTAGTAAGAGCATTAGATAGTGGATTAGAGCCCAACTGAGCCATAGTTATGGCAGTCAAAGTATAACTGAGAATCTGTTTCTCATTCTGGTAGTTGTATTCCCCCCCCCCAATAATTCTCCCTGCTTTTTGTCAAGCCTCGAGTACATCCAATTTCTTATTTTTTTTCTTTACTCCTGAGAAAAGTTCTCAATTGCCTCATTGTGTCATCACTGCTAATATCCTGAATTCATTCTCACTTTTCAAAAAAGCTCTCTAAAATAAATCTCTCTTTTCCCTCAACAAAAAAAACAGCCTATTCTTGCCCCCATGTCCTGTTTGTGAGCTTCTCAAACACCTGTTCTTGCCAGCTGTGCGAAACAAGTCGCTGGACTAGATGAACCACGGCGCATGTGGTGAACCAGTGGACATCTAGTAGAGTTCTTCTTTTCTTCATCCTTTCTCAATTCTTCTTATCTTTTACTTGCATTTTAAAATAATATAAAAGTAACCTCTAGGCTTGGCCACTGGAGTGGCTTGCTGGTTTGTTGATTTGTTTGTTTTTTATTTGCTGCAAGCCACCTGTGATCTTGCTGTTGAAAGAAAGGGGTAAATTTCACAAACACACAAATGCATACTGATGTTCTACAGCTTGCAAAGTGAATAAAATAGTGGTTGGTGGTTTATTCCTTATACTACAAAGTATGTTTGTTTCTTATCCCCAAGACTTCTTTATGTTCCTTGGCTGTTTAGACCAAAAATAGGTTTTAACATTCAGATATTACTGGACTGCCACTTTTAGCAGTCCGATAAACATAGCCAATGTTGCATCACAGTCCAGTAATGCTTGAAAGGCCACTGTTTTTCACTTTTGGTTTTCACATTGCAACGTACCTGTATCTTGACAAAGAATAACTAGCTCAAAGTCATGTAGTGAGTTTAGTGGATCCATTGGAACTAAAACCCAGATATCATGGGTTCCAGTCTAATATGCCAACCAACTGACTACATTAGGAACATGCAAATAATCAGATGCTTTGTAACTTATATCATAGAGCTGGAGATTTTTCTTATAAAATGATCTTGAAGGCAATAAACCCAGAATTAAGAAAGAATGCACACATTTTCATTGTTCTAAACTATCAAAATTAAGAGCTAAACAAAACTTTGTGGTTTATAGCTTTGTCATATCTCTGATAGTGAGGTTAACTTGGCCATAAATCCAACAGAATTCAAACCAGTCTTAGAATCTATGTTTCTGTTTGTTTTGATAAGTTAGTTCTGAATGTACAAAGCAATGTTCAAGCCAGAAATTAATCCTAAATTTTCAGGCATAAAATACCAGCCTGAGCTATTACTTACTCTGTTATACACTGTCAAGTCAGAACTGACTAAGAGAGACCTTAATAGGGCTTTCAAGTATGTAGCTTAAGGAGTGTTTTTACCAGTTCCACTCTTTCCAGTGAGTTTCCATGGCCAAGTGGAAACCAGCCCAGAACTTTATCCACTATACTACACTATTTACTTTAGCCCAGGGCAGATCACAAGACAAAAAGATGCCATGGACTTTATATATTACTGGTGTCAAGGGTACATGGAAAAATGTAAATCATAAATAATAGCTGCATATATGTGCAAACTTATTTGTCACATAAGTACAATGAAGAGGGAATAATGATCTGCTGCAGTTTTTTTGTGGGGGTGCATATGCACTGACAAACCATGGTTTGCTTGCATGTGGTACATGCAACAGGCTCTGTAAGAGGTTGGACATGTATTTCTCTGTTAAGAGAATGCTGTTCACATTGCAGCACTGTTGTTGTATTCTTGCTTTAAAAGCTACGTATTTATTGGGAATCTCAACAGAAAACTGAATAATTTAAAACTTCTTATTTGATTGCCGAAGACATTTAAATCCAAACAACCACAGGCAGATTCACATTTTTGGTACATGGTGGAACTTTACATTGGAAGTTTGAGAGACAGAGACATAAAGAGAATGAGCTATGTTGACCTTATGGACAATATCCTTGGGGCTGAAGATGGTAGCACACAGGTGTGACAAATAGAAGGGTGTCTCACTCAAAACCCTAAGCCCAACTTACATGCTGCTAGCTGCATCCAAGCGCACACCTTGTAGACAGTGGCTGCATTGCAGAAGAAGAAGAGGCTGAAGCAGAGGATGCAACCAATAATGAGGAAGGTAGAGATGCCCACAAAAAACATGGCTGTTTTGAAGGCACTTGAGGGAATGGTGCCAAAGTCCAGAGGGCTGCCCTTACAGATGAGTTCTCCTGTGAGGGCATTGCCAATACAATAGGAGTAAAGGCCAAAGTAGCCAGCCTGAGGGGTGTCAATGCTGTCCCCAATCCAATAGGGTTGGATGAAAGTCACCACCATGATGACAGCAAAGCAGAGAGTGAAGAGTGCCCACAAGACTCCCATGGCTCGGGCATTCCTCACGTAGTTGGTGTGGTAGATTTTGGCTGCCTCCTGGGCTGGCAGCATCTTCGCCATGGTGACGCGGTGGTAGGGTTCCGTCTGCTAGGAAAGAACTGTTGAGGTTTGGAAGTGGATGCAAGTCGGAGGAGTTCAGGACCAGAGTGTGAGCAAGGGCATCAGGAGGGGACAGCAGCAGGTGGAGTCTCGTGTCATCGGGGCTGCAGGCTTCGCTTCCCGGTCCGCGCCGGTAGATCTAAACTCTGGGAGATTCGGATTCTCAATCCAGAAGCCAGTTCGCCAGCTTTGCCTCTTCGTTTCTATCCAAATCGGCTCACCAAGAAGCCGTCGGAGGCTAAAGGATGCTGGCTTATCTCAGTGGCTCCTCCTCCAGACCTGACGTTGCCGAAGCGGCTGCCGCCATCTCCCCTTTGAGGGTAAGCAGACAATCGCCCCCATCTCTCGCTCTACTTCTACCGGTGCCGAGGAAGAAGACCCCCCCACACACACACCCCTCCCGCTCGGCGGCTTCTCTTGCGCCCTCTGCTTCAGCACCACGGACAGCGGCAAGCGGACTAGCTGGGGCGGCAGGAAGCGCCGCGCGAAGGAAGAGCCGGGCCGAAGGAACCCATTGGCTGGCAGCCTCGTGGAGCGGGCGAGGACGGCCGACCTGGTGGGAAATTCTCCGATTCTCTGACGTCAAGACTAAGGCGCTTTCGGGCTTGCAGATGCAAGACGAGTTTTTTTAACTCTTCAGTCTTCTTAAACGTCTTCCCAGGCAATTCGAGTACCTTTGGCTTGTTCATCCTGCAAACGGGAGGGTGATCCATTAGAGGTAGTGGGTACTGCCCCACCTTTAGCTCAGGCAGTGCCCCACCGACCAGCACCTGCTCGCTTCCTTGCTAGAGGAGAGGGTCAGGGTCTCAGCCGGATTTTTCATGCATATTCATGTGTATGAATGCCCACTTCTGTTGTTGTTTAGTCGTTTAGTCGTGTCCGACTCTTCCTGACTCCGTGGACCAGAGCACGCCAGGCCTTCCTGTCTTCCACTGCCTCCCGGAGTTGGGTTAAATTCATGTTGGTCGCTTGTATGACATTGTACAACCATCTCATCTCTGCCGTCCCCTTCTCCTCCTGCCTTCACACTTTCCCAACATCAGCGTCTTTTCCAGGAAGTCTTCTCTTTTCATGAGATGGCCAAAGTATTGGCCATCTCACTTCTGCACCTATTCCCAAATTAAAGACGAAAAAGAAAAAGGAGAAAAAGAGAGGAAGAAGCAACATACTGTGACCTTTTATTAGCTAACCAATTTGTTTCAATGGGAGGTTTTCTGCCATTCCTAATGTTATTCATTCTTTATATTTGGGTCCTCCAACTTCCTGCTCTACCATCCACGATGGCTACCGTCTACCATTGTCCAGAAAAGACATCAAATACGGATTCACATGACACTCAGTGTGTTGACAAGGACAAGCTGGCACATCTGTTGACTTTAATGTTTAACATTTGGTACCTACACTACAGTATATGTATTTAGTGGACAAAGTATTGCCTGTATACTTTTCAACCTTTTCTCTGATCTTATAATATAGATCAGTGTTTATTTGTTTGTTTGTTTTTTAACTTATATGCCACCCGCACTACCCAAAGGTCTCTGCACAGCTTACAACAATTTGAATTCAATAAAACTGAAAAGATAAAAACAGAAAGATAAAAACATAAAAACAATTAAAATACTATTAAAAATACAATGCTCTAAAAATTGCCATCAGGACCCACAGTTGATAATTAAAAACCTTTTGGAACAGGAAGGTGTTGACCTGGTGCTCAAACATCATCAACGTTGGCGCCAGACGAATCTCAGTCGGGAGGGCATTCCATAGTCTGGGGGCAGCTGCCGAAAAGGCCCTTTGTCTACAAGCTATCCCTCTTACCTCCCTACGGGATGGCTATTTCAGAGGGCCCCCTGGCTAGATCTTAATTGCTATGTAGGTTCATATGGAAGGAAGCAGTCCTTCAGGTATCCAGGGCCCAAGCCATTTAGGGCTTTATACATCAAAACAAGCACTTGGAATTGGGCTCAGGCAGTGACTGGTAGCCAATGTAATTTGAACAGAATTGGCCCGATGTGTTCCCTAGCAGCCCCACTGCTCACCTGCAGCACAGCTCAATTCTGAACCAGTTGCAGTCACTGGACCATCTTCAAAGGCAGCCCCATGTACAGCGCATTGTAGTAATCTATATGGGATGTTACTAGTGCATGCATAATTGTCATGCGACTCTGCTCATCCCGGTAGGGCTTCAGCAGGTATCATTTCTCTAGCTGAAGGAAGGCACTCCTGGCCACTGAGTCCACCTGGGCTTCCAGAGTTAGACCAGGGTCCAGGAGCACCCCCAGGCTGCCCCCATTCAGGGCACAGAAATGGCCCTCTAGGCTGTGCGGTGAAGCATCCACTAACAGCACTTCCGTCTTGTCTGGATTGAACCCTCATCCAGTCCATTATCAGGCCCAGACACAAGTTCAGCACAGAAACCGCCTCACCTGGATTGGTGGAAAATGAGAGGTAGAGTGTTGTCAGCATATTGCTGACTCCTCAGCCCAAACCTCCTAATGACCTCTCCCAGCAGTTCCTTGTAGATGTTAAACAGCATGGGGAATAGTATCGAGCCGAACCCCATGATGACACAAATGCCATGGGGCAGAGCAACTGTCCCCCAGCATCACCTTCTGGACACAGTCAGGAAGGAAGGAGAGGAACCAATATAAAGTGGTTCCCCCCACTCCCAATTGCAAAAAAGCAGGGGGAGTGATACAAAGACATGTGATACAATGCATGTAAGTTGTTGATCTCATTCATGCCTTGTGACTAGAGCAGTACCCATCCCATAGACTTCCCTTATGGTGAGGTGCCATTTCCAGACTTTTCCATTCAGGACGTAGAAACTTCAGTCAATACACCCACTAGACAATAAAGGCACATGGAGCACAATGAGATTTGTTTCTGAGGAGGTATGCATATGATTGAATTGCTAATCATTAATTAAACTAGCTGTAATGTGCTTTTGGATATGTGATTCTTAGCAGTAATCGTTGTTGCTTTGTCAGATCCCCAACTCACAACACAACCCAGATATGTATCAATACTAATTTCAGAACTTTGCAATGCCATATAAAAGCAGAGGGTGGAAGCCGGAATCTGTCAGCTGGTAATGTGCAGAGTTCTGAATGAAGAAAAAAACACACACGCTCTTCTTCCAAAAAGACATGTGTATTTACAAAAATATATATGAATATATAAAGCAGCAGTCCTTCGGCGTGGCAGCAAAATAGAGGCAAAGTGCATAGAGGATAGCAGTATAGAGGAAAGAGAAGATACATTCACATTCACAATGTTCACTTATATACACATGAGCTGATGCTTCTGTCCAATCATGTCATGTGTTGCATCATCTCTATACATGGGTGTTGCATCACACACAGATGTTGCATCTTCTTCTTCACAGTCACTGTGACTCAGCACTTGCACAGGTGATCATCATGGCAGCTCATTAATATTACAGTCTGGATCTGTTCAGGCCTATAAAATTTTCAATACTAGAAAGATGCTGCTTAGAGAGGGTGCGTCCCAACTGATTTGGAGAGGGAAGGTACAAAATAGTAACCTGCCTCTCTGTGTAGCTTTTGTGCAGGACTGGAGGGGCCGGAGAAGGCCACTTCAGCTAGTTCAGTTACCAGGGCTGTTGGCAAGTCTTTGGGTCTGAGTCTGAAGTCCAAGTCTGAATCTTTGGTATCAAGCCTCAAGTCTGAGTCTGAATTTTTGGTACCAGTTCCTGAGTCCCAAGCCCCAAGTTTCAGTCCCTATTAAAAATAAGATTTTCCCCCAGAAAGAAGGGAGGGGAAGTTGCAAGTCATGAGTTGAATACCAATTCATGAAAAAAAAACACCACCTGAGTCAAGTCACCAGTGCAACTTAAGTCCAATTTGACAGCGAGTCACACAACTAAAGACCTGGAAGGCAGGTCATCAAAAGAAGAAACTCATTCTTCCATCCAAACTCATCAAACCCTTACACTGAAGTTTGTTTTTTTCCTGGGCAATCCTCTTTTGCTTAAGTGGAATAGCTAACATATATCTTGGTTTGTGTAAAAGACCTAGCTGGCAAGAATCTCCTTCCCTTGCTGGCAATGGGAAGTTTGCTGATTAAGGATGGTGAAGATCAAAGCCTTACTTTGTTTTGGTTTCTGAGTAGAGTGGGAAATCCCACGTCTGTTCACCAATTTCACTGTTCAATCTGTCTATTTTCAACCCAGGAGGAATCCTAGGAACAGATTAACAGGGAAAAATGTCAGCTGTGATGAACTTACTGAAGATTGATACAAAGTTTCCATCTGGTCTGGAAATAATAATACCCCCTCTTCCTTTATAGTAAATTTATAGTAAATTACATTGACATTCCTAGTGAAAAACATCTAAAGAAATAACTGCTGTCTCGACAGCATCTGCTGCTTGGGATATTCTTCCTTGAAGATGGATCCAGTTCTTCTTCAAATGCCAACAGATGACATATTTGATGTGTTTCCTTGCCAGGCAGGGTTTCCTTACACAGGTTTTCTTTGCAAACAGTTCTTAGCTGTCACAGAAAATGTTTTTGAAACAAAGGGGCAGACATAATGAAACATGCAATTTGCATAAAAATGTGACACAGTGTGTTGTTTGCAGAACAGTTTTCCAGATTCCCTCCCCACATTTCAGGAAATATGAATCAGCCAGACAACCACAACATTCTGGTCTATGGAATGATTTCCCAATTGAAGAGAAAACACTTCCGTCGTCGTCGTCGTCGTTGTTGTTGTTGTTGTTGTTGTTGTTGTTGTTGTTGTTGTTGTTGTTGTTGTTGTTGTTGTTGTTGTTGTTGTTGTCTGTCTGTCTGTCTGTCTGTCTGTCTGTCTGTCTGTCTGTTTATTTATTTATTTATTTATTTATTTATTTCCCGCCAATCTGGTCTGGTCGATGGTGGTGGTGGTGTTGGTGGTGGTTGTTTAGTCATTACGTCGTGTCCAACTCTTCGTGACCCCATGGACCAAAGCACCCCAAGGCCCTACTGTCTTCCACTGCCTCCCAGAGTTTGTTGCAACCTATTCAGTTTCCTGTTGGGGTTTACAGAGTAAATCTTGTCTGAAATCCTGAAGAGCTGCTTCCAGTCAGAGAAGGGGTGGTACTGGCCCAGTGCTTTAAAAAGTTCCCTTTCGGACCACAACACCCAGAATTTTCCAATTGGCATAGCTATTAGCCATGCTCTGTATTGGGCTGACCAAACAGCTTTTCTAAACTCTGGACTGGACTGGAATGATCCATGACAGGTAGTTTCTTAGGTTCACAGTAAAAACAGTGTGTGCAGGAGCCAAGATAGTGATGTGTGTACAACAGCATTTAGCCTTGCTTTCAT